AAAAAAAAAAAAAAAAAACAAAAACAAAAATACAAAAATATATAGCTTTAAGAGGGTTAGGCCTACCCTAAAATTAAGGAACGCTCGACCTCGACACGTGATATCGAAATGGGCGAAATCGCCTCTTGATATCACTAACTCTCCTGACTCCTGACTCCTGACTCCCAGCAGCACTGGCTTTGTCAGGTCTCTATGGCTTGGAAGTAGCAGTGTTTGTGCATTGTTACCTGTTAAAGAGGGGTAGTATCATGACAGATTATCTATAGCTTTTGTAAAGAGGATGGTCTTGAGTGAAGCTTACCATTTGCTTCTGCGCCATTTCAGGTTGAGTGAGAGGAGAGCATGAAGCGAAGTCTGATATGATTATTGGTATTAGGATCACTCACCCAGCCCAGAGTTCAGTTGATAATCCTGCATTCAAAGATGGATATTAGAAAGTGAGTTGCCCTCAATACCACAATAATGAATACCCAACCAAGTTCATGAGTGTACAATGATGCCACAAATAGTCCATTCCTCATTCCCCACATAGGTCACCATCAGACTCTAAGTTTAATTTGTGTCAGGTGGCAATCATAGTGCTACCATGTAATAGTGATTTAGAAGTTAAATGGCATTGCTTACAGAATTTTTTTGTGTAGACCCATCAAAATTATACATATGCTTTGATTTCAGCTAGGCCTATCTATTATTTGACCAGAAAAGCATTAAATGCTAGTAAAAATTCATTCCTGGCAATGTTTGAAAGTGTACTTCATTGCCTCTTAATGCCTTACTCTATTTACAAGGTATTAGAAAAATGGTTAGTATACTGGCATGGTACAATCTGCATAGATTTATTTATTATTCCTTGTTCATAACACAGATGGTCCTCTTGGAAATGTGAAAATCATCTCTGAGCTACTATGGAGAATGCATGCAAGTTTACTTTCTTGTAGTGGAGTATTACTCTGCTTGTTTACCCACTTTATGTTTGCTGACTTATTCTATATATTGTTGGCAAGAAATGAATTCATACATTCATCACTATGATGGCAAGAGGGAAGTTGCTGGGGTAGTAGGAGAAGTAGATTATTTCTATTTCAGCTGTATTTCATTGACATGTCATTTTCAGCTTAATTTCTGGTTCAATGCATTTTTCTTATCCTTGCAGCTTCTTGAAGAAGAACAGTCTCACTGTGACCCCATCCTGGATTCCCACAGAAGTTATCCCTTCAGCAGAGCAGAAAGAATTGGATGCTCTTGTCAGCAAATGTCAGCGGTACGTGGGAGACAGATGAACTTATGTTTAGCATTCATGTTCATTGTGTACTGCTCCAGTACTAGGGAATTTTGTCTGCGACAAAAAGGCTGTGCAGTCATGAATGGAAGGCAGATAGGAAAATGGGAAGTGGCTGCAGGCATAGGGCACACATGCTCATTGAGGAGAATCTTTTCTTATAGAGGTGGATGTGAAGTCAAGGACTCTAGGCTGAGCAATTTAGGTTAATCAATTTATGGGGAGAAACTCTAATGTGCATTGTTCTCCATTGAACATCTAGTGTGCAGAGCCTAAGGCCCAAATGCTAAAACCACCTTTAGTTTGCAATCCTTTAAGAATCCATGGACCCTGATTAGAAGATCTTTTTAGCTTAACATGTTCACTGTTGCATCTGACCTTCAGTTGGATAAGCCTTCTCAAGTTTTGGCTTATCCAACCCTATCTGACTTGGGTTGAATAAAAACAGGCACGAACATTTCTCATTCAAACAATCAAATAATTGTTAGACCATGGAGTTTACTCTTCTGTCCCTAGATGCAAGCTGTATGAACTTTACCTTGTTCTCAAACAGATGTTAGTTGGTCACATGTGCTTTCTTTGACTTTCTTTTATCATTTGTTTAGACCCTAAGAAAAATGGCAAAGCGAGGGGCACACTTGCAGAATGGTGGTAGCAAGCGTTTTAAAGATCCCTTTATCTCACCTAAGTGGTCATATCTAAAAATGCTAGAAAGTGTCTGCCAATGCAGGTTGTGCTTTTTTCCATTTGTCTTTTTTCTTCAATATTATGTAAATACCATCTCTTTGAGTGCAACTGTGGTTCCCAAAGCAGTACTGATATGATATTATATGAGCAGGGAGATAGTTATAAAATTCTAATTCAGACTTTCATGAGTCAGACTCAGATTTACTCATTTTCACTCACGCTGCCTCCCCTTCCATTTCTATCCTCCGCCAACCATTGTCTATCCTTGTAAATCCTTGTGAGAATTATAGCTCCTGATGATCTTATGGGTTGAGTCTCTCACTCTGGGCCTACAAAGGACCAAGGATGAAGGGCCAAGACCAGAGACTAAGGTGAAGAGAGTGAAGTAAAACTACTTTTCTGTGCATCCAGGGAGGATGCAGTACAAGTTTGTGGACATGTGATATATTTTACTGACATGAAACTAAGAATGATAATTATTGGGGGAATGCATGTCATGAGATATCATTGTGGTGAATGCCTGCTGCTGATGAATCTTCTAAATCCAGAATTGGGTATAGTGTGTAAGAAAAACACATCTGGTGATATCTCCACAGGAATGAGGAAGCAAGTCGGAAGCTTTGTCGGGACCTGAAGAAGTACTGTGATACAATGAGCAGCCTTGGGAAAGCAGAGGTAGCCATGACTGGTGACCTCTCATCCTCCAGCATGTGCCAGAATGATCCTCAGCTTTGCCACTTGGTTGAGGGATACCATGCACTTGCTCAACAGGTAGGCCAACCTCGATGTTGTCGTGCTGAACCATGAAAGGTCATCGACTCCTTTTGTGCTCCTTGAAGCCACAGTAGCTTAGTGAGAAATCATCTGGAAGACTTCATGTGCTGCTCCTGAAAGAGAAAATTGGAACCCACTCTTTTATCCTCCTTGACAAAGGCCTTCCAATCCAAGGAAGAATGGCCTGGAATGAGAGTATTAATTGTGGAACCGAGAAGATAATCTACAGGACTCTCCTCATACAGGGTGGCACAAAATTAAGTAGACTCAATCCCAGTAATAGTGGAAATGGGACCATTTTCCCTGCTTCATCAAGTTATTGATGAATTTAAGTCTGTATGTTTGACAAATCCTGTATAAACCAGTTGGTGTTATTTCCTCCTCCTCCCCGTGATACAGGGGTGTGGTAGGTCACTCATCTGCTATTTTATCAGAATGATAGAGTAAATTTGATTCAAGTAGGAATCTAAGTTGAATTTGGATTTTAAAGGATTTGTTTTGGGGAAAAAGCAGCCTTATATTCAGATCAACACAATATACAGGGTGTCCCATAAGTCACTATACCATTTCAAACTGCAACAACCAGGTCACTCTCATTAGCATTGAAGGTAAGAATGCACTTTCAATTTTTTTTTTACAATGACTTGCAATCAGACTCAAACAGAAATGGCTTCAAAAGCATATCAAAAAGGTGTACTTCTTTAGGGCGATTTATGGTACACCTTGTTGAATCCTCTTCTACAAATTTTCTAAACTTCATGTTTTCCTCTCCTAATCAGATAGACTTGAGAAATCATTTAGCTTAAATTGCTTTCGCTGTCATGAGAGAACGTTTCACATTTGACGCATGAGCTTGGAAGGAAAGTTGCCACCTGGATGGAGGGCTGTGAAAGTCCCATCAAAGTTCAAAGGAAGTTTCAGCAATATTTTGATACTGAGCCTTATGCCAAATGTATTGATGTAGGCAGAGGGCATTTTGAGGCACTTTCAAAACTCAGAAATACCTCTATTTTTTACAAATATATTTCCAAGTGACATGCTATCATTCAATGTTACTTCTTTTTTGTGCCAACTGTTTAGTGGATGTGAATTTTTTAAATGGTATAGTGACTTATGGGACACCCTGTATATGATATCATTTCCAGAGAGGAAAAGTGGAAAGTATTATAGAATCGTCCTCTGGTTTGTGGCACACGCAAGGACGCCTCACATTTTTCATGGTACACTTAACCTCCTGGTTCTTTTTGCTCACTTTTGATGAGAAACTCGATCAGCTACTTGGTTTATTTTTAATGGGAAACTGAATGTTGACTTCATCAACTGCTGAAGAACGTGCCAATTCAGCTACGTGTCGTTCCTTTTGCATGCACGACCCAAAAACTGAGTCAGATCACCCCGTGTAAGTCCAAGGCCACACCCTGCTAAGAAGGGAAATGGGGGGGGGGGGGAGGAAGATGGGTTAGTCCAGCTGAAAATAGACTCTGGCGTGAAGAAAGAAGCCTCCGCGGAAAATGACAGGTTTTGATTCTTCGTGTCAGCTCTCAGATCTCGGGGTCAGGGCAAAAAAATATGACCACATCTGAAAGTCGAGCTTCTGCCCTCTCTTGATAAAGTCAAGGCTACATCCCAGAGTACTCGTCAAATTTTGAAGCCGAGCACTTGAAACGTTTTTCGAAAGGGGTCGCTCAAATTTTATTATAATATTGCAATAATTGTTCGGAATAAAGAGACATGACTTGAACACATCAGTGTCGCATAAACGAAACAGTTAAAAGAGAAAGAGCAAGAACGATGATAGGAATTCCGGAACACCCAACACGAAAAGGGTGCTGTCTGCTTGAATCCTCGCCTTACGAATTTGCCTCAATGAGCCCTCCTTACAGGGACATAGCCAAAAAATCGCCTTCATCTAGCTGCTGCCAAGCTTTTCATTTAAGACTGGAAGGGGGATGAAATCCCTCTTCGTGACGCGACAACACGTTCCTCGATTCATGGATTCAATCGCATGATATGGGCGAAGGATCCCGCGGCGCAGGGGATGCACCATTTGATGCGGTACCATGAAAATGTACAATCTCCGAGCTGGCAAAAATTGCATGCAATGATTAATGTTGAATGCTCTTCGACATCGGTCTCGTCCGACTCGTAGGCTATCCTCCTCTCCCTACCTCATTTATTTAATGGATCAATGCCAAAATGGGCGAAATTAGCGATTCGTTTAAGCCTCACGGCACACGATGGGAAGCAAGCACTCGCTCAAGGACACAAGCTCCCGATCGATCGCGGGGGGGGGGGGGGGGCGGGGCATGTCACGAGCGATCCCGTGCCCGATGGAATGCACCCCCGATATGAGGCTTCCGCGGGATCGAGAGGGGAGCCATTGCGTGCATGGGGGTGTCGTCGGCAGACCTCCTGCGGTGGGATCCGAAATTGGAATCTCGTGGGATCAATTAGATTCTGGGCTAAAATTAACAGGTCCCCCAAATCCCTATCTGACTTCCTTCTTTTCGTTAATTTCGGAGTTCGCTTTCTCTCGTATGAGGATATTGTAGATGGAAGAGAATTTAATTGCGAGTGCCGATATTGGAACGAAGCTCGCAGAAGTCGTCGCATCGGCTCCAAGACTTGAAAAATGTGCCCGACCTTAGGCAGAAAGCGGGTTGGGGGAGAGGTTTAAATCCTAGCTACAGGTTCGCGACCAAGAAAGACCAAGTCGATGGCTTTAGGTTTGAGGCATGTTATGGAAACCAGGACGACATCCGAGCCCTTTGTCGAAGCTCGACCCTGAGTAAAATTACGGGGAGGTTGCAGAGTTTAGTAGGTGTTTGCCCTAGTTTCTGTGGTCCTCGATCTTCGTCTGGCCCAAAGTGACACGTGCAGAAGCTCATAACATCCGATGCGGATCGACCCGAATCACGGTGTAAGCATCGCCTCCGCATTGGCCTCTGCGGGAGTCCCCATTTGTTATCGCCGCCACTGACGGCCGCGATTCCCACCCGGTCGCGACTCCCCGGGGCCACGAAAGCCCGATGGGACGATGAAGTCTTCACCTTGAAAGCTCCTTCAAAAGCCAGTGTTTTCCTTCACGGTTGAAAGTAACGTTGTATAGGGTAAGCACCCCAGTTTTTGGCCACGCTGATACGACTCCCGTAGAAAGTGGACACCCTGTGCGCACACCGGGAAACCCTAGTAATAGTTCCTCGTACGGGAAGATGTTGATGGCATGCTTGAAAACGGCCAGATTAACTAATAAAATGCTGGATTTAAGCCTCACTGGCCAACAACTGGAGACCGGCCAGAAACCGGGGTGCTTACCCTATGTGATTAGTTATAAAAATAAACAATACATACATTTATAAAGGCTGGAGGGGAAAATCTGCCCAAAACGCCCTGGTAGCCAACGTGTTAAGGTAGTAGGGGAGGAAAAATCGACCGTCTGGGATTCGAAATCTGAAAAGTAATTGTTGTAGAGGGTCCCTAGGGAAGTGCAAAGAGGGGTCGCACAGTCACCTCCGACCCATAG